ATGATGTGGCTTTATCATTTTCTGAGTCACAGTTGAGAGAGCTCAGGGTCACTGCTCTATTATGCACTATATAATATGATTAAACAGCTGTTATCAGTTAGGTTCTCCCTCATTTAACTTGGCCCTCAGAAGGCCGATGCTTAAAAAGTATTTCCTCTCAGTCAGGCTGTGGTTGGAATGTAATCAAATATGAATCAAGGCAGAGAGATCACAGGAGCACCACACTGAATTAACTATTGCATGATGGCTTACATCAGGTATCACACTTGATGTAAAGCCCAGGCAGGCACAGCAATCTTCTTTCTAGAGACGGTTTACGAAGCAGCTCGGAGGATTTTAACCCATTTGATGAGTTCCTCAGATTCAATTTGATGCAGGAACTCAAATGTGTAGCCTCAAAGCTTGTTATCTGCCCACTAATCATCATCATTTACACATTATACAAGTTCACTGTAGTCTTTCACAGCAACCTCCCTGGCAAATAGACAGCTGTATATCATGTCAGCTACACTGGCAGCCATTACGGAGCCAAAGCCAACACACAGCTGAACTAAGTCCCAAAGCCAGCTTCCCTTTTTCACATGGTTATTGAGCCATGCAGAGGCTTATCGACCCGACAATGTAACACAAGTTTGTAGAATGGCTTTAGTCCATCTCTCTCTCTCATTCAGACTCTGGGGTTTGCCTTGGTCATTCAGAAGATTGGTATTGATTATTCTGCCACTTCAAAAATAATGATTGTAAGCATGGAAACAGGATCACAAAGCCAGCAAATGCACACAATTCACTCTAATGTTCACACACAAGATATAGATCTACAAGTCCTGTGAAGTGATAAACAGGCAAGTGACTCACTTTGAATGTTAAAATGAACGTTTCGATCCAATTACGAGATATTAGCGGGACTTCAACAAGCGCAGTGGTGAAGTTCGGTGATAGTCGTTGACCCTTACATCACCAACGACGTGTTTCCACTCTGCACAGATAAATTGCCGATTCAAGTGCCTGCCATCTCAGTTGAATTGTTATTGCTGTTCTGTATAGAAATCAGTCTAAGAAACACAAGACTGTGCACTAAGCGATAAAGGCATACATCATCCCACACAGCGGAATGTTCTTTCACACAAAATACAAAAAACTCTCATTGATCCCCTTTAAAAGCAGTATTCTGTGTGTGTGAGGGTGTCCTTTCTCCTGTGTGCATGCATGTGTACTCAGTGCACTCATGAATAGAGGAGGATGAAAGGAAAAGCTGAAAAGGTCTAAGCGCACTGCATGGTTCAACCAGAGAGCTCAATCTCTTGATCTGCCCCCCCCCCTCTTTACTATTTCAAAATCATTTTTTCTCACACCTACACCTGCCCACACAGCTGTTCCTCTTTCCAGCTTTGGTAAAAGAAGACTGAGGAACAGGGATTCACCTGTGACTGCAGGCATGTGTGACATCATTTTCATTATCACGCATCAAGCACTTGTTTGGTGTAAAAGTGGTAGAAAATATTTACCAGGGAGAGAAATAAGCGAGAAAGGAAACAGGAAAGCAATATCTAATCAATATGCTCAACGTTTTAGCTTGCTTAAAACACATTTTCTTTCGATGTGTCTGAATGTGTTTGTCTTCTTAAATACAACAAGTAATTATAACAAGTGTCTACGTTGTGTTAGGGCTGTGGTTTGGCTACACATAAGAGCTGATGAACTTCTTATTGATGTGGTGATGTATTTAAGAGTCTCTCATTTGATGGAGGATCATTAATAAAATATTTTCTCTGGTTACTATTGTCTTTCAGAGCGACTAAACACCACCAGAAGCTTTTGCACGCCTCAGTGCACAGCAGCTTTTGTTGTTTTACCTGTACTACACCTTGATCTGGCAGAGGTTCAGGGCAAGCCAAAATCTACAGTGAGAATGTTTACTCATGCATGCAACTCCAAATATCTCAGAGGAAAATAAGTGAATGACACCTCTGCCTGTGGTATGCAACTTGTAAAAGATATTCTCAAAAACAAAGGGTTAAGAGTAAAACCTGTAATTCAAATTAATGTGTCTACCAATATATAAGGACACACACAAACACCTTTTGCAGCTATTGGTTGATCCATACCCATCATTCACTCTGCCTGTACTTGCAGGTTGAAGCATTTCTGTCACTAAATGCATATATATGTTCTCTCTCTCGTTCGCGTGTGTTAGAGGATTTGGGTCCGTGTGCACATATGACTCAGACAACCGAGCTCAGTTAAATGGCTTGTGATTAGGACACATTGGCTTCTAATTGCCTCTCATTACCATTTGAAAGTGAGTGGCGGCTGGAATCAAAGGTGTGTGTGTGTGTGTGTGTGTGTGTGTGTGTGTGTGTGTGTGTGTGTGTGTGTGTGTGTGTGTGTGTGTGTGTGTGTGTGTGTGTCTCAGGTGGGTGGGTGAGTGAGTGGGTGGAACAGCATGCCTCATTCACAGTGGCATGACCGCACGATAAGGCACTATGGGGACAATTCATTTATTCCTATCACAAAGCCTTTAGGTTCACCATCATATCCTCTTATAGACTCAATCAAAGCCCTTTCTTCTTCAGTCTTAAGCAATGAACCATTCAACCTAGAGTGCCTATGCACTACACACATTTCTTCATTAATAGCTTTTCACACAACACAGCTTACAGTATATGTGAATATATATGTAACCTGAGCTACATGTAAACCCAATCTATTAACAATGTCAACTCATTAGCACAACCAATTTGTATGTGAATGTTTAACATGCTTAGTTATGTTAACAGACTAAAAGAAGATTTCAACTGAAGTTTAAATATTCTGCATCAGTTCCTTTTCCCCATTCAACTGTTGCTATACTTAAAGGTGGGGTATGTAATTTTGGAGAAACCAGCTTGAGTGCGCTAGAATTTGAAAGTACACAACCGGAAAAAATCTGCCCCTTCCTTCAGACTTCCTTACAGAGCCCCTCCTCCAACACACACAAACGCGCACATGACCAATGAGGGCACAAGATAAGTTTGTGCACAGATGGAAGGCTGACAGGCAGGTAGGCCATCCAGTTATTTTAGCCGGGCCGGCTCAGATGATTGGTCGTGCTTTTTACAGCGCTACGGCTTCCACAGATGACATTTTTTTATGTATTTATTGTCAAAGCATTTAATATATTCATTGCTATCGGGATGTTAAGAGCATTCCATGGAATATAACAAAAAGTGTTTCTGAAATAAATTACATACCCCACCTTTAAAACAAATATATAATTGCAGTATATTCCCTAGTCTCAGCTATTTACTGTATGCACAGTACACCACAAACACATCTATTTATTGAATTAAAAAAAATTGAGAAATATAATATTTTCATGAAATGTATCCATGCATGCAGCTTCTTCATTGGCAAGTAATACTTGTATTAGTTTATTATGCAACATTTTACAAAAAAGGCATAGCCAACACTTTTTGTTTTTGAGATTATGGTTCCATGTGTTGTTGGAAGCAGATCACAGAAGTAAGAGGGATAGTAAATGGTATGATGGAAATATATGGGAGAAATTTGGGGATTCCTTGTTGTCTAACCGTTAGGGGTGTATGAAAATAAAGATACACTCCAGATTGCCAGATTCTTGCCAATACAATTGCTGATGACCAGAGAGTCAAAGACTAATGATTGAGAGATGATACAGCCAGAAGGACCCCATTATGCATCCCTGAGGAATACCATAAGGAGGTCTTCGAGATATTGTTAATTGATATTTTTGGATTTGTTTCAAGATTCAAGATTGGAACTGTTGTGCTTGATATTAAATAAATGTGTTCAGAATTGTTCATGCCAAAAGGGCACAGTTGTTTTAGGATGATTGATAAGTGTTTAAGGGAAGGCAACTCAATAGGTTATAGGACATGCTTCAAACATGAAAAACATAAGCAACAATTAAAACTGTGAAAAATAAATTCTTCACATAGCAAAAAGTTGCATTTTCACCAGTAAAGGAGAACTCTTCAAAGAGTAAATGCAGCTGCCAATAGAACTGCACCTTTTCATCTTTAGCAGCTCTACATTTGTCACTTGGTCTCATTTGGATTTCATATTAAATTCATAATGCGAGTGAAAACCTAGGCTATCACTTGGGAATCATAGCCTACCCTGAGTGCAACTCCGAGGTGTAAACAGAGTAAAAATAGCCTGCTATCACAGGCTTCCCTACAGTCCCGTTATATAATGGTCCAAGCTAGGATGAATGACATCACGGGTAGTCCAGCAATCACAAACCCTATGTCCTTTACAACCAGCTGGCAATGTAAAACACTGAGTAGTAGATATAACATACGCAACAATCCTTATAAACGGTCTAAACATGAAACAAAAATATGTAACAACATTTTCGCAAACACTGGACAAATTATGCGAGTGTGGTTAGTTGTTCTTAGTCTCTTTTCGTGTAGAGAGAACACTTCCGCGATGGTGAAACGTAGATAAAAATGTAATGCTTGCCTTTGACAGTCATTGTCAGTAAGAAAATAGTTAAACATAACACCTATACGACACGAAGCAACCTTATTTAGCAGTGTATGTCAATGATAAGCGTTACAAAACATCCTACAAAGAGCAAATGTTTGAGCCGAGGTCGAGTGGCGCAGTTACTGAAAGTACAGCGGCTGCCCAACACCAGCTCTGCCGGCGAACGCGCTCCTCGCTCGGTCAGAATCCAGCCAAACCTCCGCTCTCTTTCGCCCCACTTAAACACTACTTTGCATGTAAGTCCCGAAATGACAAGTACATAAACCCAAAGCGCGCATGCCCCCGTGCTGTTTGGTCACTTAAAAATAGGTCAGAGGGCGAAGTAAACATTTTCCGAGGCTTTGAAGTAAACCAAAGCGTCAGCGCCACCCTGCCCAGTTCTTCCAGCCATTTTCTCTTCACAGCTCCAAAGAGAGAAAAAGTGGCATGGCGAAAGCAATGACAGCTTGGTCAAAGGAGTAGTGAATGAAGAGTTTTGTGTGACTTACTGTAGGGTGTAACGGGCTGCTGAGTTTGTGTCTCTCCTTGTTGCCAGGGCTCCCCTGCTCTGCTCCGGCGCTGGCGGTGGAAAGCGTCTCCCCTCCTAATGATGTTTGCAGCGCACAGCTAATAGCTCTCTGCCCCCACCTTCAGAGAGAGAGAGACAGAGAGAGAGAGAGAGAGAGAGAGAGAGAGAGAGAGAGAGAGAGAGAGAGAGGGGGGGGGGGGGGGGGGGGGGGGGGGGGGGGGGGGGGGGGGGGTTGGGGCCAGTTTGTAAGCTACTCATGCAAAAATATGAGAGGGCTCGGAGCTCTGCAAACAGAGACTGAATTACAAGTTCACTGACAGTACTAGGGCGTGAGAATGCACAGTAGGCTACATATGCCATGTTCAGTGTAAGTAAGTAAGTGTAGTGAGTGTATTTGGATATATTTATAGCAGCATAGCAAATTCCAGAAACTGCATGTTTTTTTTCATTTTTTATTTAATTTATAAAAGTGTAAATCATTGGTTTAGCTGGTGTGTTTCCTTAGCTAAACATCCCTCAAAAGAGTAAGCTGCAATAACCCTCATTAGTTAAAATAATGAACTTCAACTTTTGACCACATCACTAAACGTTTAAGAATGTATAAGGTGGCTACACGTTTGGGGTATTTGTATTTTACTTTAGTAATCTTTTGATACTTTTTATACTGCATTTAATTGCATTATTGTTATTTTTACTCCACTATTTTTTACAGCTGTAGTTGCATATGTTGAGTCCAGGAAGTGCATACAGTAAACCCAAACATTTTTGATTAAATCCATGTTTATGCATTACTTATGACAACCTAATAATGTAACTCGTAATGCTATAACAATCACAGGATAATCCTGCCGCACAACACATTCAATTAAGTTTGTTTTTCCCTGCAATACCTTTGAAGTTTTTAATCAAATTTAAAGAGATTTTTACACATGGATTATCACTTATAATTGAGTATTTTTATTTCCTATTATTGCTAGTATTGCAATTGATAAAGTGAGTATTAAAGATGTATTTGATAATATAATGTTTGCATCACTGGTGGCTATTGTTTATCCCATGAGCTTAACCTTATGTTTAATATCACATGCTGGGGACACCATACCATCTTTACTTTGAATTCTCAAGAAGCTGTCAAAAGGCCTGCAGGTCCTGGCAGTCATCTGAGGTAGAAGGCTCAAGATCCTAGGGAGAATCAGTTTAGCTGAGAGCAATGACTAATAGTCAGCTGACAGTGACAAGGTGGAAAATCTCAGCAGCTGATAGTGACTGCTTTTACACACACACACACACACACACATACACACACACACACACACACACACACACACACACACACACACACACACATACACACACTAACAGCACACCCAATCTAGGAATACTAGAAAACATGTTGACGAAATACTTTTACTCATAACATGATTTAGTTGTTGCTAAATCACATTAAGCTGCTAAATTAAATTGGCTTTTTGTGGTTCAAACATTTGACAATTGGTGTATCTATTCATTTTACATTCCTATATGATACAAAATCAGCCACAACATTGAAATTCAACAGTTAAGGAGAATTCAAATACTTAGTTAACCCCCCCTTCTATTTTTAGTGTATTTTATCTTGACCCCTGTGACCTCTCCCAGATTTCCAATATGGCAGCCTTCGCCTCTTGGACACAGGAGAGTGCAACCTGACACTGAATGAGCCGTCGGGTGCACGAGGCTGCAGAGTGACAGACGATCTGGGATGTATCCCACTCCCAGCCAGTCAGTCAATAAGTGGCCTATTGTCCCGCGTTCTATTGTGCCCTTGTCACATGTACGCCATACAAAGAGACAGAGAGGTAGGCTGCCCTGTGTGCCAGGAGGCTAGCATTACATTCATGGCCTGGATGCATAGAAATGAAGAGACACCGTCTGCTGGTGTATAGTCAGACCTTGATATTTGAATGCCCACAAGAATGAATAGTTTCAGTTAGCAACAACCATTTATTATGCAGTCTGTGTACAGGTTGGTTGATACTAGAGTATCTTTAGTGCTTCCTGTAGTGTCAATTTCACATTGTACACAGCATGACTTACCCACACAGCATATGTATCAAGTCAGAATTCAAGAGGAAACAGTACATGCACTAAATGTCATGTCAATTTAGAATTCAGTCGTACTGCTTCAAGTCTTGTTAGCGCACAGAAGTGCATGCATTCACTCATTTGCATACACACAAGCATGTACTCGTTCCAGTCTTGGATCGCTCTCCCTTTCGTCTGTGCATGTACCCACAGGTGTACACCTACTCACTACACAGTGGGTGGATGAATCGCATGGAAAGCTCCAGGTGAGACTTCTTGCATAGGACCTACAGAGGTACTGTACATGTACAGTAGGAAAAGTTAAGTAGGTAATTTCCTGTTTGGCAAAGCATTCATTTGAATGAGTTCCAACATTCACGGTACAATGATAATGCATAGTTGTGCGTAAGTGTGTGTAGTTATGGCGTGCTTGAGTAATGAATAACCCTGCTTTCAAAAGAGGAGCAGATTCTTCGAGGGTTGGGTTACTCCCTAGAGATGTATCTGTGTTCTTTGTAGGAGATGTGAGTAGTATACAACAAAGTGTACCAGGTGGGCATGTATGGGTAGAGCCCTGGTATACCTGCATACCTGTATGGCTGTATGTGAGATCAAATGACTTAGATCTGAAATATAAATGCATTTTTCGAAACCTCAGTGATTTGAAAGCTTTCTTTTGTGAGAAAGGGTGCCAAGTTTAATATTAAATAGAAAACTAAATAGGAGACATCCACTTAACTGACAAGTATACACAAACAAGGGATTTGACACCTCACCTGGGATATGAATAAATAACACACTGAACCTAAAACATGCACTAACGTATATAAATAATTAAGAATCACTCGCCTTTGGAAGCAACCCTTCAGGGATTTTAAGAGATTTTATGAACAAAGTAGCGCAGTGTCTGAAGTGCATGCCACTTCACACAGTTCACTCAATTGAGCAGCCCAGCTCTTCAGGTGCTTTTATTGCTTTTTTATTCAATTGTATGTGAATTTTCTGATTTACCTGTTCAGGCAAAGGCATGGAAATAGCATCTCTTCAAATCTTCTGCGAAAAAGTATTTCATAGTTTAAGAGGAACACTCATGCTTTGAAAGTAGCTGTCACTTCAGATTTAAAGGCTTCAGTGTCTGCTGAAGTTCAGGGGACGGTGTGTTTCCTCACTGCTCCCTCTTTTGTTGAAATGTGGAAGTGTTTACAAGTTCCAGGGCTAGACTGCATCATGTCGAACACTTTGACATGATACAAGTAATAACTACTTAAGACATCCACATTATCCACAGTTCTACTTTATAACAGAAAGGGGACTCAACTTTGAAATGCTGATATACTGTGAAACATAACAGTTAATACCAACTTTCTTTTATTTTTCCCATACACCCCTGTCAGATAAAAAATAATGTACCTCTCAAGGTCGCTATTTATTTTAGCTGCTCATGCATTACCTTAATGTTTAATGTTTAGCATTAGTTTCAGCTAAGTATTATAACTATTTGCCCAACAATTTGAGCTATTTGAACCATTATCCAATAATTCTAACTAACATATTTGCTCATTTTTGTAGTTTTCATTCACACTGTCAACACGTTGAGTTTAAGTGTGAGCTGACACGGTGCGCATTTGCAGTTCTTTTTATATTCAATTTTTATTTGATTTTTTTCATTATTTGATCTATTATTTGAGCAATGGGTTACGCCAAAGTCACTGCTAACTTCACAACACTGCGAAACAGTCAGAATTCCCTGAATTTTTGTTCATCTTGATTTATTAAAGAACACAAAGTATATTGACTTTTTTATTTCTTGCAGTCAGGTTCCCAATTTATTTTATTTCCAATATCCTTCACCCATTGTGTATATATTGTTATAGTGATGTTGTTGCATCTGAGCTGCACGTTGTAAACCTAACATTAAAATAACTCAAATCCAGCTTCTGCATCATCTTATTCAGTACAGTATATAACAATCACAAGCTGCCTAATATACCACCACTTTCACACCACCTCTCTAACAACCAAATTACACAGGCTTAAAGTTGCCCTTGCAAGTTTAATCCTATACAGTGAATGCCTGCTATCGGCTAACCTGTTCTCACACACCTTCCCCATTCCACGACAAGGGAAAACGAGCGGGGAGGATTAGGATGCAAAGAGAGTTTCCTAATCTGTGTATTAACAGCAGCCAATTCAATCACGCTGTCTTGGGTAGGCAGATTTTGGGAAGTAATCTGGAGTGTCTTAATGTGATCTGTGTAAAAAGTTCAGACCTAATTGGAAAGGAGAAACATATACTTCAAAGTCAAGACTGCACACACACATACCATGCATGCAGGCAGTGTTTTTCTGCTCCTCCACATGCATACAGGGAAATCTAACGTGTGAATGTTGCTATTGAAGGAGATCAGAAACAGCATTATATTCTTGCTTTGATAAAACATAACTTTAGATGGGTGAAAAGAGAGTGTTGTGTGTATGTGTATCTCCTCTGTATGGAAAAATAATTGGCTCCAATAACTTATTATTAGACTGCTGCCTTTGTAGATGATACTGCAGTATTACCGAGACACAGACAGTTATTCTTCTAATATTCTGAATTGTTGTTTTACCCTTTCCACTTCCTGTTTAAACTGCAAATCATTTTGATAGAAATATTGAATTCCCCTTTTCACCTGTGTTGTGATTCTCCCAGATACAGTGTCTGCATTTTTTAAATGTTATGACTGTGTTCAACCCTGCTTCCCCCCAAATAAAAACAACCCCAACCCTCATGTATCATAAATGAGGTTGGTCCTCTGCCTTCCTTTCTGCCTAATAGGGCTAGATGAAATGTGGGTTATGCCCACGCCACTCTCCTCCTACAAAGCAGCAACTTTAATTATTGACCAGGCAAGGGAGGCTCTCCAACACACTTTCATAAAAACACAAACACCCCAGTGTACACAAACACACACGCCTACACCAGTCGTGAGTGATATAAGGACAGGCTTCATCGTACACACTCATCATCGCGGGGT